GCGTGCCCAGTATTATACTGGGTGCTTTAAAATAATCGAACATACTTCTTGTTAACTTCAACATTTTTGGAAACTTTTTTTTTGCGATGACAATAATCTTTTTTCAAATAAGCTGAAAGAAACATTGTATATTTTTTTACATCTCAAATATGATGTGTGAAATATTGAAACGAAAATCAATTATATTATACGGAATTTATTTGCTAAATCAAATTTCGAGAGGGCGATGGCGGGTAAATATCGATCGATTCGTGACCGGAACACTTATTGGGCGACAGGTTCCTCGACGGTGCCTGCGACGGAAGTCGAGAAGTGGTTCCGGAAATGAGAGCCGCGACGTTAACTCAGTTTCTCTCGGCCTCTGGGATGTGGGTCGTACTGGGTTATATTCTGAGGGTCTCCATGCACAATCTTGACGGAGATAATCTCGAAATAATCTCGCCGACGTCAACTTTTCTCAATTCGTGTCGCACATTTTTATTTTATCTAACACATTTTATATGGGATGGAAAATAGATATAAAGATTAATGCAGATGAGATGATCGGCTGTTATCGATCATGTTTAGGATAATATTCTATGATAATAATATAATATTAATAACGATGATATTATACAATGCAGAATATGATAAGTGTAATATAATAATCGCGCATTTAGAGATTTCATTGAAGTAGTAAGAGTTTATCGTCTTCAATTATTGTTTTACAATGGGGAAGAAAAATCCCTACGCAAAGAACTTTACATTAAACAGTTCGACTCTTTGCGGTTTCCTGCGGAATGAAGTATGCGAAAAACATGACCGTGGCACGATCGTGCTGTCTACCGATGCACGTGCCTTTCTAAAATGTAAGCCTGATTGCAGCTGGTCTGTTCGAAGGGTTCCTTTGCGGATAAAACTAACGAAGACCGCAATTGCAAAGCCGGCTCTTGTCACTCAATCATAAAACACAACATAAACCAAATGTACACTCACTCATATTACCTATTCCGGAATTATTGAGTGTCCTTTTGCAAGGATTTTTTGATCATCTTATAATTTTCCTAAATAATAAAATCGAGAAAGATTTCTCTATTATGTTCTTAAAAATTATTTTAATAATTTCGATTTTATGACTTCATTAATTACATATAAACAAGATACATTTGGAAAATTTTGCTTTGAATATGCATCAGTGCTGAAAATTTTTTACGTGTCATCCAAAATTTTTTCTAGCATTCGATTATCATCATTTATATACATTATTTGGAGATATTAATCAAAGTATTTGACTCGCATTAATTTAAATCGTCGCTAATGCATCAATCGGAATTATCAAAGTGTCGCAATCTGACGTGAAAAAAGCTAGCGTGCGTTATTCAATTCTTAACCGCGTAAGTAGCAGGTACAAAACAATAGCTCATTAATTGCAATTGGTGTAAAAAAGTGCCGCGGCTCGTTAAAAAGTACTAATGCGAGTTGACAACAGTTCTCGCGATAACGACAACTGTTTTCTTCTGATGATTTATGATTTAATTTATATTATACGTACATACTTTCAGTATGTACGTTTAATTATACTTTCAATTATACTTTTCAAGATCTTATAAACGATGATTTATGATGTGTGACATATTTATATAAAATCATAATTTATAAATATATAAAACCTTTAATCATCTGTTAATCCTTTCTTAAATCAGGCATAAATTAGTCAAATATAAAAATATTTTTAATTATGTTAATATAACCCATTCGAAATCTTCTTTTATCTTCATCAACAAAAGATGACTGATATAAGATATTTCTGTGGTGCGTGAACAATTCGATTAATGCGCTTGAGGGGAGTCTCGCGATCGCGGCGACTGTAGAAGTGCAAGTAATGAAGGGGAAGGGGGATGATGCAGGAATCGAGGCAGGAGAGCATCATGGTCTGATGGTCACGACTCGCGGACAAACGGACCACCGCACCATCACCATCATGTTCGTCGGCCGGTTCGCGAGTAAATCTCGGCAATTTCTCCGTAATGGTTGCCAGACTGAACGCGCGCTTAGCATACGCCCTGATTTTTCTCGTCAGTCCGACCGTGACGGTTAACGCTTTGCTTGCGCTCGCATGCGATCCCAAAAGTCACTCGGAGCGTTGAACCGGAAGTGGACTATCGCGAAAATTCAAGTGTTTAGTCGCGATGGAATTTATAAAACGAAAGTGTTCGAGACGCTTCAATAACGTCACGTCCTATAATTCCCATAAATTAGAAAATACGTATATTATATATTTCACGGAAGAGTACGCGCGAATGCTTGCTAGAATAAAGATCTTTCGATAATTTCCTTGAATATATTCTATGCACTTTGTGATTTTCGTTCTTCTTGAACTCTCTACAAAATCACTACTAAATCACTTTTTTCAGAATATATTTAATAATTAATTAAATATGAAGAGAGATCGTACTTTCAAGTAATTAAGTATCAAAATTATTTAAAATTTAACTGAACGTTCTCTACTTAAAATAATTAATTGCATGATTATTTTAAACTTTATCGAACGTTCTACTTTAAAATAATTAATAGTCATAATTGATTCAAAACGCTCCATTTATTAAATACCCAAAAATTGATATAAAAATCACGAGAACAATGTAATATATCAATTGTGCTTAATTTTTTAATTACGAGCAATGTTATCAGAATTATCAGAGAGAATGTACATTTTCCATCCCTACAATTCGCAACATGTCATTATATAAAAAAACATTCTCCGATCTACTTACGCAATGCTTGCATAACATTGTTACTCGCGCAAAACGATTCCAGTAATAATTTAGCAATAACGGACAAAGCATATATGAAATCCATGAGAAATGCTACTTAATTTTTTATTCTTTTTTTATTTTTACTCGCTTCCTATCTTCGCGCTTTTTTTGTAGCTCTTTTTATCGTGAGTATAAACTTTACACTCTTCGTTTCCTTTTGATATCACATCCAAAGGCGCGGATGCGATGTCATTTCTGATCACTTAGTCGATCGAGCGGATATGAAAATGCGTGAATTCTCTCTTCGAAACTTGGATTGCTTCATCTATTTATGCAAAGTAGTATCGCAACAAATCTGCATCATTCTTCATTCCTTAACATTAAGAAATTCCGCGCGTTTCCTGTGGCTTCATATAAATTATGCTATCGACTTTTTAATCTATCACGATACAAGGTAATTCACAAAGTAATTCTTTAATCAATGATTTTTTTGAAGTTTGTGATTGATGATTTACAATCTGTCCACTGTTTCCCTACTTTGTCAATCCGTTTTAAATGATCAAAGTTGAAGAGAGAATTGAGAAGCAAGAACAAAGTTAACTCCAAATTTATATAAAACTTATTTTTATAATAATATTTGAATTCTGTATTTTACAAATATTATAATTCTTTTTTTATTTCTTTTGTAGATTAAATCTTTTAATTTTCAGATTAGACAAGAAATTTTGTACATTAAATTATTTAAAAAAAAAAGATTTAATGTTTAGTATTTAACAAGAGATATTATATATATATATATATATATATATATATATATATATATATATATTAATATATATTTTTATGTAATTTATAAATATCATCAATTTCTAAATAGCATGGTTGATATAAAAATATACCAACGATGCTTAATTTAGTTATAAATATATAACAGTGTATTTGGCGTTTCAATAAGATTAAAATTACATTGTTTCATTCTGAGGATCAAAAGAGGAGAGAGACAGAGATCTATATATTTTATATTTTAGTAACTTGCATGAATTATTTTGTTCTAAAAGGATTTTTTATTTTACGATTTATAAAAGCTTAAAAAACGTGAGTTTTTCGAGCGTAACGCACACTATTCGATATCCCTAGCTGGATATGGGAGGTACCAGTACATCGTGTATCTATAGTGCGGTTCAAGGTCGGACGGTGTACGTTGAAGACGATAGCCGTAAGATTCGCGCGTAGGTGCATTAACCCTTCGAAGAGTCCGCCGCCACGCGACGTGGCTATAGCTTCACAAAGAGTATAACGCTGGCGCTTGTGAAACAAGTTGGATAAATGAATATTTTTATAGCTGAGAGGCAAAAGAAAGTCGATTCGATTTTCAACAGACCAATTTTCGACATATTTATCATGTATGAGAACAAATAAGTTAGAAAATTCTTTAAAAAAAACATAACTACTTGAAAATTATGTAGTAATGGGAGAAAAAGATTTATGTTATAACAAAAAATTCTTATCATTTGGATAAATAATTTCGTTTTAGAAAAAGAACTGTTTAAGCAAACGATAAAAATTATTTTTATTTTTTCTAAATAGGATAATTATTATTTTTTCTAAATAGGATAATAATTATTTTTTCTAAATAAGATATTTTTTCTAAATATATATGTGTGTGTGTGTGTGTGTGTGTGTGTGTTTATATTTTTAATTTAACTTGATAATGACTGTGCATAATTTTGAAACCTTTCTTCTGATAAACTCAGCATTTTGTACTTAATTGTACTACTTCTACAAATTTATTTGGTCCGATGCCTCGAGGTAATTCGATGAGAGGTACTTAATTCTCTTGGGCAAACTAATAATACCGTTAGGTGACTATTAACGAGCCAAGAAAATTCGGGATATAAATGATGATGAATTTTTTATAATTCTTCGCTGCGTATTCTCATCTTATTTAAAAATAGTATAAGATTCTGATAAAATTAAGTGCGATGAGGAAACGTTTATATCATTATCGCAATATATACTTCAATTATTTAAAATAATCTTTTCTAAAATTGTACTCGTAAAAAAATCTCGTGGTTTAACATTATAAGCACAGCACAATTTTTTAAATTCACTGTATGAAAATACTTTTGAAAATGACGAGTTTTGCGAAGAAAATTCTAAGCAATTTTATATCTCTCCACATAAAGTTGCGAATTCAAATGTAAATACGTCGTACGAAATGCTTTCTACGACAAGAACTTTTATTAAAAAAGAATCACTACTCACTCATAGCTGCTTATGTCGTCCTCTACGAGCGAGCAGTCTTAGCCATGGTGCACCGACGAGGAAGTTCGGCCGCACCTCGTTAGGAATGCACCTGAGCGCTCGCGGGCGTTTATCTTCGGCCCTCGGAGAAGACAGGATCGTAGGTGTAATAACAGGAATCCACGGAATGCAGATGCTCACGTGTACGAATCGATCATATTCCGCTAAAAAAAAAAAGAAAGAAAAAAATATGGAAAAAATAACACGAAGAGGAGGAAACGGAAATCCGATTATGCACTCCGCGATGAACTTCCGACGCGAATCGCGAGCACGAATATGGAAGACTTGTCTCTTCACCGTTAGCTCGGCCGCATCGCGGTCTTGAAGTCGACTGCAAGAACCAAGCGCGGCCGCGTCCGTCCCCGGTAGAAATCCTGTCCCATGCCAGAGTACTGCAGCAGTGTGGTAGGGCAGTAGCCTTCGATGGTAGGCCTCCTCGTAGGCTGGGCAGGATACAAGCTTCGCCTTGACGAAGTTTGCCAGCGGCGGAAAAACCTCGTTGAAGGGCAATACGTTGACTCTTGACAATCCTGCCGTCCATTACTGGACATCATCCTCTAGCGCGATGATATTTAAATTATTTTGGCTGAGATATTTAAATATCCTGCTTATGAATAATATATATCTAATGAAATAATATAATAATAATGTTACAAAACAGTAATAACATGGTAATATTTTCTTATTGATATTACTATAAAAAGATATAATATAGAATGAAAAGTGTTATATGTAACTATTTTTTAGCAATTTTTAATTAACAATCACTTATCAATATTATTTTATCAATAACGTACATGTCAAAAAAGTATCGTAATTGTAATCATGTAGTTTTGTATTTTGAAAATTTTTGAAAAAGAAAGAAAATTAATTAATTTTTCAGTCATTAATATCTTAATTAATATATTGCTTATTGAGATATTTTTCATTCGCATATCACGTCAATTTAAATATATCATATCATATCACGTCAATTTAAATATATCATATCATATCAGTTTAAATATGAATATAAATTTATGTTAAACAAATAAAATAATACGCAAAGTTATTAGAATTTTTTGCGTTGAATTCTTTAAAAATCCGAATCATAATCTCTCTTATTCTAAAATGAAGTTTAAATCGATTTAACTTAGCCGTTTAAATGCATCTTCCTCTATTATGATTGCATCATTATTCGGTCTTTTTTTTAATTATAAAACCTCTCGAAGGTTGGGGACAAGTTTATCCCTCACCTGTTGCTTCTTCTGACTTCCAATCGTGTCCCTGAGCCAGCCATACGCGACGAGATTTTATAAGTGCATTGCATGTCTAATGCAATTGTGTCTTTCTTCAATTTCGCATGCGTTGCTATTGCAGTCTAATTGATCTGTCAAAAAATTTGATAAATCAATTTAATTTCGTCTCATTTAGGAAAGAAAATGAGAATTTTGATTTTTTTAAGACAAAAATTTAAATTTTTTTGATAGTTTGATATCGAAAAAGGTAAATTGAAATTTGAAATTTGGATCTTTTTTTTGAGAAATTAAATATATAGTATTCCTTTCGAAATAAAAGTTTAAATGAAATGATTATACTTCTATTTATTTTTATTATTATTTCTTAATGATGCAATTAAGTGCTAAATATAATATATAAAAAATAGCATTCATTAATTAATCGTTTTTGAAAAAATAAATTATTTTATGTAATATAAATAAAAATAGATTTAACTGCTGTAATATTAATTGACATCATTTTATTAGATATAAAATATGGAAATATCTAAAAGTTTGCAATGATTCTAATAACATCGTGCGCGATTTGATATATGTATTTAGCACAGCTAAATATTTATTGCCGACGATAGAAGATGCAATGTAATTTTTTGCGATTATAAAAATATGGAATATGCGAATTATCGCTATGTGCGTACACATTAAAATATTGATATGATATGCGAGAGATAAGTAATTCTTAAATTAATGAACGGTGTTACATATAAACCTGTTCGTTTAATTTCAATATCCAATATTTCTTCTTTTATATGAATATTAATCTATAATCTTTCAGTTTACCTATTTATAAATGCGCTATTGATCGATATATTTACCTATAAGACATGTTACGTATAAGATACCCACATCGCGACTTTCTAATTACAGTTTTCGATGACGTTTAAAAAATTTAGAAATGTTTTCTCTCAGTAAAGTACAGATATGTGAAATTCATTTAGGGTATGATAACTCTCCTAGAATCAATCTAGTCGTTTCACGCTATGCAATAGTCTTTGTACTTTTGTTTCAGAGTCGGGCCTGGCTTTCCAGATTCCGTTCGCACATGCTTATTGCATCAAAAGTTGCAGGTACGTGAATTACCAAATATTTTATGTAACGCTTATGTAACTTATATATCTTCATTGAGAAAGAGAAAAATGTCATTAGCTTCATTCTTATCTTTTGCGCGTGTAGATGATGAATTGCTGCATAACAAGGAAGAAAGCGAGAGAGGAGAATGCACATAGATCTCTAAGTATGGAGGTTGACGATGTAGAGGAAACAGGTAGCTAACATTCGCAACAGACTTTAACTGCATTTTTACGTGTGAAAAACGGTCGATGGAGAAACTTAAAAGCTTTTGCTTTGGTTTTCGCAGAGTCCGAAGAAGAGGAATTCTTCGAATGTTCGAGTGAAGAACCGGCGAACGAAGAGACTTCGTCCAGGATGCAACTGAAGGCGAAGCACTTGCTGTGGAATAAGCCTGCGGGAAGACTGGCTAAACATCCATCACTCAGGTTGGCTTATTTTAACGAATGACAGCCGCAAATTGGCCGAGATTCACATGAAATTTATAGAGTAAAATTTCTTTTGGTTTGCAGAATTTAAATATTTCAATACAATTAACTGAAAAGGAATGAAAATTAAATTAATATCTTGAAATATATGATACTCTTTTACTAGTGTGCTAGCTGCTGGATAAAAAGTGTCATTTGAATAGTATTTAACATTGTTGGCGTTTTATTTTTTAAATAAACAGAAATATCTCTATCTTTGCAACCATATGATATTCGCGTTACTTTTCGGACTGAATAAGTTCGAGAAGATATATGGTTTTGTGACTTAACGTGATGGAAATTAATGTGTAGGCTGATTCAAACTGGAGATCTTCTTTATCTACCAATCACGCAGGATCCCGTACCAAAAACGGAAGATCAGCTAGAGGAAGACGCGCAGGTGATGATGCAACTTGGTACCGACAAATACGCTTCCGAAATGCGAGCTCGAATGATGAGTGCATCCTTGTTATCCGATATGGAATCCTTCAAGGTTTGTATTGATTTAAAAATCTGGCGATGTATCTTTTACTATACATATTATACTTTTATCATATATATAATACAGGCCGCAAATCCTGGCGCAATATTAGAAGACTTCATTCGATGGTATTCTCCAAGAGACTGGATTGATGACGAAGGCCTTGACGAATGGGGACAGGGAAAAGGTCAGTATTTTGTTTTCATTATGCATACAAAATTTCTGGATATATGTTTATCACATTCTGAAAAATTTCTCTTGTTTACGTTTCTTCTTAATCGTGTTTATTTTGCATCTATATCCATCATGTAATTAACTTCTTTGTCTTAAAAAATTTAATTTAAAAAATATAGTTTTCTTAAACTTTTTGTAGTATTATATACAAATATAAGGAATATCCGCAATTTTGATTGATAACGCTTAGTGCGACATTCTTTACATTGCATCTTGAAATGTAGGCCACTTGTCGCCGCGTATGATGATCCCCGATAATCCGTGGTCGACAACGTGGACATCGGCGCAGCCGGTTCCCGCACACCGGCAGAAGCGATTATTTGACGACACGCGAGAAGCAGAGAAGGCTCTACATTACCTGTGCTCGAAGCGAATAGGCCAAGTCGCGCAGCTTCTACTGCCGTCTCTAACGCACGCCGCACTCCATACTCTGAGCTCGCAAAAACAGGAGGCTCTACCAAGTTTGCCTGATGTAGCACAGAGCATACTCAATAAACTGCAATTTGCGACGAAACCGATCCATCAGAAGTTACAGTTGTACGAAGTATGTGCGTCGATGATCAGAATCTTCGATCTATCATAAATATTATTATTACAATAAATTAATGAATATTATATAAATGTTTACATGTGTTTACATATAATATGCTATTTCAATTCTTTCTCAGGAAATTACGCGCGATGTTGAAAGCGTGGAGGCGTTAGTCGCACAGGTGAATTCGCTGCAGCATAAATTAGGTGGTAAAGACTCCAAGGAATTTACATCCTTCTTGATTCAATTGATGCGAGGAAAGGAAGTGAGTGTGCCCGGTGGTTCCAGGGGAGACATTGGAACACGAATAATAACGATGTTCCACGACGCCCAAAAGGTGACCATTTTTGCAAAAGTTATTTAATTATTATATATTTCAATATAAAATACCTCAGCTTTATTTCAGGCCGCTCACATGATGACGTCCGTCAACAGCAACAATGATGCAGCTAGTGCCGCGGGAGATGGTCGATATAAGACGTTTCCTGAACCGTCGTGTAAGGAGTTTATTTTACGGGCGATAATGCCACGGCCTTCACCAGCCTCCACTCCGCAACCGCAGCGGCTGTACGCCTGTCTTAAACGAGATCACATTCGCTTGGCCGGATTCTTCTCTGAAGATACGACATTTCTGTAGTCGACTAGAATTCGTTGTAGTGGAATTTACATAAATGTCCGCAACATCGTATTTGTGGTGATCACAAAGTGATCACAAATCATGCGTCGTACTTCGTTTTTTACATTTTTTTCAAATCGTCGATAGTTTATTTCTTCAATATATGAGACAGATTTTCAATTTTGTTTCCGTGACAGAAATAAGTGCAAGAAATAATTTTGTTTGCACAATATAACGTGCGATATTTTTTAGTTATTTTTAGTTATACGAACTTTGTTCGTTTTACTGAATAGACATCTTACATGTAGAAAATATTTATCTCTAGACTAAAAATTAAATATAATTTTTATTGGAGCGTTGTATATACAAAATATATGTATATTTATTTGCATCATGGAATGGATGATGGATTCAACAAAAATATTCTCTTTTCAAGTTTAGAAGGTGCGGATAGAAAGTCCCGTATAATATGATCGATTTCCTCCAGAGCTAATTGAGCATGAAGCCGTAACACGGGATCATCGTCATTATCGCGCAAGTGCTTCAATCCGCGATACAAGTCGACTAAATCACTACCGAGACTGTTCAACGTATCCCGGCCGAGGCCGCGAAATAGAAGTGTAGCAACTAGCACAGCGGCACGACGACATTCGGGTGTCTTGTCCGATTTTATTATGCATGCAATGCAGTAGAGAATCTAAAAGTGTTAAGATCAAATTTGCAGAGAGACTCGTTCGGCACTCTGTTTCCTGAACATTTCATATATACGTACCTCGATGAGAATGTTTCCTAATCGAAAGTTTAACACTTTGCAGAGTTCTCCCAAGCAAGAGAGACTGGAGGCTCGTACTAAGGGATCCGCGTCACGCGTCGCGCACAAAAAGCCGTTGACTAGCGTATTTTTATGAACTACGCTCATTTCACCTGCGAAATATCATGTTTCAATTACACCTGATTCTTGCTCGAAACTTAAAATAAAAATCACTAGTTGCATTATATTTTATCGTTTCTTGGATGCATAAATAATGATAATTTGTTAATAATATATTTTATAATTTTGTTGTAATATTTAATAATTTAAATAGAAAAGAAGTTGGTATATTTTATTAGTTGGAAAAAAATTACATGAGATTTTTAAAATTATGTAAGAGAATATATAATAAAGAAGAGATTTTTTATGCATACCTAAAGCTCTCGTTGTCTTGACCAATATCTCCCCGAGTTTTATCCTAGTTTCGACAGTTATTTCTGCGTCTGTACGATTAGGCATATCGATATATTCAGGCATGAGTATTTCTATGATTTCTTCCGGGAATGCAGTTGCCAATGCACACAGTCCATTAATAGACGCCAGATATACAAACGAGTCTTCGTGCTTTAAATTCTCCTATAAATGTTCACGTGACGTAAATTATGAAATTATGAAAGGTTTAGCGAGAAATTAAAAAATTAAAAAATTACCTGGAACAAACGCAAAACGATCCTTTTTCGCGCTACAGCACAAGAATCTTTACTCTCGATCAGTTTCGTGAGCGTTACAAGACCATGTGCACGAACAGGAAGTAACGGGTCCGCAAGATCCTTAATGGCTTCATCAAATTTGTTTGATGTGGTCAGATTTATCGATATGTCTTGATAATATTTCCTTTCTTCGGTTTTGACTCGGGATTTTTCGTTTGGATCATATGTCACGATGTAGGCTACCACTTCGTCAATCAATGATCTAAGTTGCATCGGCAAATTCGAATTTCTACGATGCTTTTCTAAAAACGTAGCAAAATCTTTTAGGAGATCGATTTTGAGCGTAGCTTTTTTCTCAAGCAGAAATTTTATCAGCATTAAGCTGATGTACAATATTTCGCATTCGTCCTCTTCTGTTTTGTCTTGATAACTCTTTGTATATGCATTGAACAATGATTTTATGAACGACAGTAGTGGCATGAGATTTTTTACTTGTGCATCTTGAATGGCACTAGTGCTGGCTAATTGTGATAGAAGCTTGTGAGCCGCCAATTGCATCGCGATGTATTCTATTTTATCGTCTTCAGTCTCTAGCATGTTTTGTCGTTCAACTTTGTAGCTGGACTTATTTATATTTGACAGAAACTTTAGCATATAATAGAATAAACTAGGAGATAAATCCTTTGCTATGGATACCAGTTCGAAAACGGTATCAGCTAGTTCTTCGTATTTCAAATTTTTATTCAGCTCAGTAATCTGAAGACCACCAGTTGGCCCAAACTGTGCTGTCACATAATCTCCAAATTTTGCCGATGTATCGTGTCCCAGAAAAGCTGCATAAAGCTTTTCTCGCGTAGTCTCTTCCTCAAGAATTTTCAATAACAATCGTCGTAAATTTGTTTTTAATATGCAAGCACTTTCACGAACTGTATTGTACAAGCAAAATAAAGGTGTAGCAACATATAAAATAACTGTACAAGGTAAATGCTTGAATTTGGCATCTTCTGTTAAGAAACATTTTGCTAAACCATCTATACATTGTTCTATTTCCTTCTCGGATTTTACAACATATGGTTCTTTTGTTAACAGAGGTGCACAAATAACTTCTATAATGTATTTTAGACAAGCATTTGGATTGTAATCGTACAGAGCCTTGATACAGCAATTTGCTATCATCGAACTATGATTTATATTTCCTGAACAGAGTAAATTTAAAATCTAAAAAAAAATGAACAATCTGAATAAAACATGACAAACATATTTGTTTATACAGATATATTATACATTTTACTAAAAAAATATAATTTATTTCTTAAAAAATAAAAAAAGAGAAATATAGAGATATATACATACCTGTGGACATACAGCTTTATAATATTCTTCAGCATTCTTTCCATGTGATGCTGCTATCAATTTACAAATTGTTTCTAATTTCTTCCAATCTGCACCCAAATCTAGATCGTCTTCGCAAATTGCAGTGATTAATGATAACACTCCATTTGATTGTACAAGTATTTTAATTAAATAATTCTGAGTTTCTTTACGTAACCATTTTGGTGCATTTTGCATTCCAAGAATTATCATCAATTCCCGAAAACATATATAATGCGGACAATTGTTTAATAACGAAATAAATTTAGCATGAAATTCTTTTTGGCAATTTTGCAGCCTTTGATATTCTTCTATGGTCATGTGAAATTCCTGCTTATTTACATTCGAGGATTGTTGAACTTTGCTTGATGGTTTAGCCAATGGAGCATGAGACAATTGTAATAGAGCAGCTATCAGAGGACCAATTTGGGAAAGTATAGCTGGTCGTAAGTTGAGATCATCAAAAAGATCTAGGAGTGAATGTGTTGAAAGACATAATCGTTTGTATTTCTGCAACATAATTATATAGAATAAGAGATATCGTACAAGTTACATAATACAAATTTTATTTTGCAAAAATTAGTGAAACAATCTTACCTCCATACAATTTAATTTCTCTTCCTCTTGACAAATTTTTAAAGCTTTGGGACATAACTTAGCCATATCTATACCAACACCAGGTAATAAAAAAGGTATAATTCCAATTGATACTATTAATTCTATTGCAATTTTTATAGAACGATATTGTTTCACACTAATAGGTGCATTAGTATCTATTTTTCCATTTTCTTCTTTAATGTTACATAGTATATAAATTATTGTTTGCAAATACTGATCCCTATAAACAAAAATATATCTAAAATAACGTTCTTGTATTTATACTTAAAAGTACACGGAACTTTCAGCGATATAAAATTTTACCTGATGTTGACATTTCTGATCGATTGTCTTACGTCTTCTGGTAGAAGTTGCATTACTTTCTCTAATATTCGCGCTAGCTTGTCATCAAAGCTCTTCGCTTGATCTGCAAATATACGTTTAATTAGAAAATGCAATATATATTAATATTGATTTATCATTATTTTTAAAAACCATTGTGCTTTACCATCACTGCTGGATATCAATGTGCATAACATTTCATAAAAATCCATTGTGATGTTTTCTCATGATGTTTCTTTGGGTTGAGATAGCCTGAAAACAATTATGCCTTCGATCTTCGATCTCCGATGCTCCGATGTAGATAGAACCTGTATTCAAAGCGCCTCTATGTCCACATGGACATTAAACTACATAGCCAGTCTATGAAATTTCTTAATGGGTAACACGCTATGTCGATAAATTGTGATTTTGTTCTGTGCTATGAAAGAAAGTATGTTCGTCTCTTTCTAACTTATTGCACTAGTCCAGCAGTGCAGCTAAAAAGAACAGACCCAGGTGCAAGCATTGCGCGTGCGTATACAAAATAAATTTCAAATCGCTTCTAGCTTAACCATCTTTACGCGAATCGACTTTACTTGAATTGCAATCGTGTCGCGTCGAATTATGATGCGGCGCCAATTTGCCCGAACGTAATTCGCGACATCGCGTTGCTTTATAAGCGTCGAATGAGCACGAATTGTCACGTAAATATGATAAATCAAATCAACTCATCGTTCACCGGCTGTCCACAGGTCGCTCGATTCACTCGTCTCAGGATGTCCCATTCCGATCTCGATGCACACAAACTCACACGATGTCATCAAACGAACACGCAACACTTTATTCGGCACTCCCGATACTCGTTCGCACCCAATAATCATCATCAAAAACGCGAATAATGCGACGCAACTTCGCTCCACCTTCGGGATGATACCATCACTGAAAATTATCAAAAACCGCTATCGCGCGTTTCCTCGACATATTATGAAAGTCGCGCGATCATCCTTGGACACTCTCAATGCTCGTTCACTCGCGATATTCGTTTATTTACGGTTAAAGACGCGAAAAATGCGGGTGTTCGATGATCTGCGTAATTGCGTATGACTCCGATTCACGTATGACGTAGCAATGACGCACTAATATGGCGGCCGAACCAGTGCGCATTCGTTTCTGCGCATGGCCATTACTGCGCTCAACGTTCGCGCAATTTTGATTTCTCAATATTTATTATCTTTAATTAATAACACGTAATAATAAATATATAAAGATAGAATCCATTAATCATATTGGTCGTATATATGTAGATTTGCCCAAAGCAAGAAAAAATGAGAAATATTTTTAATTATCTTTAATAAAATCCATTCATAGTATTTTTGTTTTTTTCCTCTTTTGCGCAATTTTGATTCAATATATAACGTAGAAAATTGCGTAGTATATTGGGTTGTATTTATTTTTATATATTCACAACTATAATATTCGCACGAATTTTTTGACACTTACAATAATACTCGTGCACACTGTACCTTCCTTGTTTATTTTTAAAAGACGAATAAAGGGGAGCGAATATAATCCGACCGATTTTCACTGCGTAAAAATGACGCGTAGTCTGACATCAGCGCGGTTTTCTTCACAATGCGTTTAATTATTGCAAATTTAAATCAAAGAGAAACACTCGACTAGTGACTAGTAGAAATGTAAAAAATGAATGTTAGAAATGTAAAAAAAATTATTATATCTAAAATAATAATTTAATTTGAAATACAAAATTAAAAGTTATTATAGAATCTGACTTTATAAAAGCGCAGTAAAACAATCAAATAGTAGAGAGAGATTCGAAATTGTTATGGACGTAGTTATGTCTCGTCTGTTTCCGCATCAAGATAAATTTAATTAATTGAATCACTGATTTTTCATTAAAAATCATGAATTAAAAAATTATTTTAAAATTAATCGGTTTTTGAGAAATAATTAATTATTACGCGTACAATTTGAAATTGGCTCGTATATTTTATTTGAATAATCGTAACACATGTACGAATAGAATACAAATTTAAATTATACAAATATATAGAAAAAATGATACAATAGGGAGAGAAATGGTCCTTTTGTTTAACATATTCGTTCCAAATTTTTTTTTAATGAAAATATTTATCTTAATTTTCAAGTTAATATTATCCCCAAGTTTATATTATCCTCATATTATATTATCCTCGATATTTATATAAATAAATATATCCCTTATATTATTATTAATATTAATCTAAAAGTTTTAATTATTATAACATTATTAATTATTAATATATATTTATTTTATAAATATGTATACAAATACGTCATACAATTATTATATGATTAAAAATATTCTTTCCTGTTTTACCTTATTAAAGCAGATTGGCAGACAAATTATAGTTGTCTGTATATATATATCATTATTAAGAAATCTTTTTTTTATTCATCTTTAATTATCCCCATTTGCTTTTAAAATATCTGTTATCATGTCCTGACTAAAGGTCCACAATCGCGTGGCTAATGTAAGATTTAATGCTGCATTTGATGGTTGACAACGATAACAGTTGTTGAAATAGCCTCCTGTTACACCCTCTAACTCGGGTGCTGTAGCACAGAATACCACTGTACTGGCTGCTTGTTGCTGTAATACATTATGTGTTGTTATTCTATCTTTTTTTTTCTCATTGATTATAACAAATAAAATCAGAAGTAATATAATGATTTAATAAATTGTTAAAAAACAGGTGTAAAATATTTAAAATATAAATTTAAACAATCATATTTTTTCTTTTTCAAAATTCACCCTTTGCATTTTATATTTATTACATTTTGCGTATAAATTTATTAGAAAATTTATCCATACCATTGATTTTGTGAACGGCCGTACTAAAGCGAACAACAATCGATATAGCCACCAGTGACGCGATAAGGATGTAGACACCAAGTTACCAGGATGGCATGCAAATACGCTTACAGAGGGCCACTTTCGTGCCAGTTCCTGTGCGAATAGAATATTACAGAGCTTTGAATCGTTATATGCTCCCATCGCCCAGTATTTATACGCTGGTGGAGATAAAGTTGATTGGTGAATATCTTCTGGAGTACGTATCGATGAAAATCTGTAAATCATAAAGTATGTTCAATTACAAAGATTTTGATTTTATATTTAATTAAGATAGAATATACTGGTAGAATACCAGGTAGAATATATTGAGACATTACCGATGAGACTCACTGGAAACTACTACGATTCTAGGATTGTTGGAGCTCTGTATAGCATGTTCTAATAAAAGCGTCAAATAAAACTGCGACAAGTGATTGACTTGAAATGTCGTTTCATAACCATCTTTTGTAAGTTGATAAGGTAACCCAAACACACCAGCGTTTAATATGAGAATATGGAGAGATCTGAGAAAATGGAAAATTTCATTCTAAAGTGATTAACGATTACAATATTTTAATAATATATGTACAATGAAATTACTTAAATTTCTGCTTGAACTGCTCAAAAGCCTCTCGTACACTTCGCAGCGATGATAAGTCGATTTGTAAAGCCATACAATTTGCAGTCTCCTTTTCTTGCTGAATGCGTCTTATAGCTTCATTAGCTTTTTCTATATCTCTACAGGCTAATATCACATTGCAGCCATGTAAAGCTAATGATCTGGCTGTTTCAAATCCTGTACACAGATAGTTTTCTCTAATCAGTAAAATTGTAAGAACAATTATAACAATTATTGAACAATTATAACAATTATTGAACTATTATAACAATTATTGAACAATTGTAAGAACAATTATAACAATTATTGCATATTAGCAACTTTTGCTTACCAATGCCTGTATTCGCTCCTGTAACAAGAGCGATTTTGTTGCGTAAATCTCGGCCATGCAACACTGCCAGAGCAGTGCTACTTCCGTCAAATCTCTGTCGCACTGGCTGAGACATCTCTCTATATTCAGTAGCAAATGCTAATCGTGGATCAGTATAGGTCGTTGTACGGTTTGTATGATCAACAAACAACACTTTACCATCATCTGATATACATCTCTCCCATCCAGGGGGCAACTCTGATAAATTTTCAAATTTAGATCTGTTTTAATTACTATATTATATATTCATTAGTGTTATTTATTATTCATTAGTAATTGTGTACATTCTTAATTTCTGTGAAAAATATGATTAAATATTGTCAATTTTATCTAATATAATATAATAATCTAATATAATTTAATCTAATATAATTATTAAAATCCTAAGCAAGATTTTGCAAAATACTTTTTGTATAATTTTGTTAAAATTAGAAATATAGCTATCATGCACACTGCAAGCTGTTTTGAGAAATCCAATAAATATTGTTCAGAATTATACACATATACATTATAATAATAAACTATAAGTTACAATTGTTATGACGATCGATTGAAATCAAATACATACCTCCATCGACAATTTTCTTACGACCGGTTCTAGGATGCGTCCATTGGGTGCCTTTCGTGTAATGACTGCAACAAAATATTATAACCTTTTAAATTTCTGCAGATTCATGTTAGTATTTTTCTTATATCGTCACAAGCGATCTTTAATCCCTTTCATGCAAAAGTATTATGTCATTGGATGGGGATTTACTTCACATAATAAACATTCCCATCCAAGGTCGTCCTCTCTTCCCAGCCTGGCGGTAGCTCGTCCTCGCTATCGGAATCATTCAAAACACCCACCATTTCCTTGTTAGATTTTACATCAGCTCCCTCTTTACTTTTTTAAATTTTCTCCAGATTCCATTCTTTCATCGAAAATTTAGTTCATTCATATTTGTATATTCAATTCATCAAATGTCATTCACACATTTCACGTTTTTTGCGTGCCATTCATATATGTGATTACCCTGAATACTGTCACTTGTTACTTATTTTGGACAAACGCCGTTGATGTCACTACTGCGTGATACTTAATTTGAGGTTAAGAAAACCTGTTTGGGTCGATCAATAAATTATTTTTCTTATATCATCTGTGAAAAAGTTTACTATACATTGATATGGCTGGAAATAAGAAAGGGACAGAGTTAGCGTTATCCATTTTGAGAGTATTACCTAGATTGACATTATCAAATATTCGAGATAATCCCGGTGCGCCAAAGGGAAAAAATGTAAGTTATAATTAGAAAAATATAAAAATATAATGTAACAATTTTATGCTAGTTTTTAAAAAAGTTTAAACAAACGCATGTATATAATTAGATTGCAATATTATATTGGATTAATTTTCTATATGTTTGAATTTAAATACACTTTCAATCAAATTCTATGTCATATATATTTCACCATCATCGTTTCATTTCTTATCACTTTTTATTTTTATACAGAAACGAGGCAGAGGTCAACATGGTGGTAATAGACATGGTGCTGGACAAAAAGGTTCTGGACAGAGACAAAATTATATGCGCTTGGGATATGAAACTGGCAATACTCCTTTCTATTTGAGATTTGGTAACGAACCTTACTACAGGGGTCATCAGTAAGTTTTATGAATCTATTCATTCTATCAGATTACAAAATATACATGTTTATGTATGAAATTTCTAAAAAACAGTGCTATTCTATATTTTAGTTTGAGACGAGAATATCCACCGCTTAGTTTACATAAACTACAAATGCTTATTGATTTGAATCGGCTGGATATCACTAAACCAATTGATCTTATAACATTATTAAATACTAAATTATACCACATTAATGTAAATCATAAACATGCGGGTGTTCATTTGACAGATGAGGTAACATTTTTTAAGATTTTATCTCATTTTAAATTTTAATATTAATATTGTATGTATATTTGAGATTAATGTAAAAATTCTGCTTTAAGGGTGCACATTGTTTTAAAGCTAAAATAAATATAGAGGTACAATGGGCCAGTGAACCTGTAATTGCAGCTATTGAGAGAAATGGAGGTATAATTACAACTGCTTACTACGATGTGCACTCTCTTCATGCCATGTGTGATACAGAGCAATTTTTCAGCAAAGGTAATTTCAGAGAGAAATATTTTTTGTATAATTTAAAAAAAAAGAATTCCTTCTTTGTATGTAATGCTTATAAAATGTATTCAGGTGAACCGATACCACGTCGATTTTTACCACCGGACGATTGCCTGGAATATTATTCCAGCGCCACTACGAGAGGATACTTGGCCGATCCTGAGAAAGTCTCTCAGGAACGATTGGTGTTAGCCCAAAAGTATGGTTACGAGTTACCAAAAATCGAGGACGATCCTGATTACGAGATGTTATGCGAGCGCAAGGATCCGCGACAATTGTTTTATGGTCTGGAACCAGGATGGGTGGTCAATGTTCCTGATAAAGTAATATTGAAACCTAAAGCCGACTATCTGAAGGAGTTCTATACAAGTTAAAGTATGAGAATATAAGAATATAGTGTAAATTAATTAGATTTAATAAATGCTATTCTTATCATTCGAATAAATACAAAACTATTCCTGTTTTAAAAATATCTGATTAAAAATATAATTAAATATTATTAATATAATAGTTTAATAAATATAATACTTATATTTAGTAAAGTATTATATATATATATATATATATATATATATATATATATATTACTTATAATTAGATATGTTTAGTAATTATATTTTATATATACATAGTAATAATTTATATAATGCAATTATATTATATTTAGCAAAGTTTATTAAGATTATGTATATATAATTAATTACTAAATATAATGTTATACTTTAGTTTAGTAAATATCTTTTAACAAAACAATTGACAGAACTAATTGTTCAATTGGCATTCTTGTCAATAGAACGAATGCCTCGATAATCTCGATTAGAATCACTTTGTTTGACGGCGATTAATCGAAGTCGAAATGCAATATAATCGACTTTGCAATCGCACCACACCCGCTGCTCGCGCCCTCGCAATCGATATCCTTATTCCTGTCAAATGGATGATAATGGCAGCGACGATGGTTGACACAATGTTGCAGAGCAATGGCTTTCAGACGAAAAAGAAAGAGGACATCGAGAATAAGGATAATTTGTGGTACGTGTCGTGATATTCACGTGATGATTATCCATTTATCGAAATGCGAAACGAGAACAGCCATTCGTTTTTTTACGCTTTATTCAAGAGAGACGGTCTTCCGCTTTCCATGACACATCCTATTGTTGCGTGAGAAAAATTGAACATTTTCAATTCGCCCCTTACTCAACGTTACTCGTATGCTTTACAGGTCATCCATTTTAGCAGAAGTGCAGAATAGCAGCAACAACAAGCTACCATCAAACAAAAACGTCCTCGTTCTAGGTAAATGTCAACGAGATCCCGAGATCGGACCGATCGACCGATGGGCCGATGTAGCACGCATATTAAGTATCTATATCGCTGCTAGATGTGTGTGTCATCGACAAAAAAAATGCTACATCGCCATATTTATGCTAATTATCAGTTAGAGATAAATGAGTTTTTTCATTGTGATTTTTTTCATGTTACGTGTGATACTTTTGTCATAAAGTACTGATAGGTTATATCACATCACAGTATTCGCGTCCCTTGCGATTTATATAGACACTAATGCGTTTCAAATATTAGAAGAAAATATATTTGTTTTTTCCTTGTAAATATTATTAATAACAAATATAATATATTATTTTTGCTATGATAATTATGGAGATATATATGTATTTAATGGTATATTTTTGTTAGGTGATAATGAAAGTGGGAAGACTACACTTATAGCTAAGCTACAAGGTGTGGAGGATCCAAAGAAAGGCTCTGGATTAGAATTTGCATATATTGATGTTAGAGATGATTATCGAGACGGTTAGTGCAAAATTAATCTGATAATTAATGGAATATTTTGACAAATATCACAGTATATTATTACTTTAGATCACACAAGGCTATCTGTGTGGGTTTTGGATGGAGACCCAGGTCATGCAAATCTTTTGAGATTTGCACTGAACAAAGAGAGGTTTCCGCATACGCTTGTTATGTTAGTTGCTGCTATGACTACTCCATGGGCCATTCTTGATCAGCTTCAATCATGGGCAGCATTATTAGGCGATCATATTGACAAATTACCATTAGATAATGATACTAGGCAACGGTGCAGGCAGCTTAGTAAGTATAAAAAATCACAAGTATACATAATATCATAATATCATATAATAAAACATAATAAGAATATAATACATAATATCATATCATTGATTCAATGTTGGCTATTGTAACTATTGTTCATTGTTTTAATTATGCTTTGATACTGCTATATTTACTGTTTCAAGTTTCTTTAATCTAAAATAGGGGCAACCAAAATGCAATATGCATTTTGATATAGCAAATTATTTTAATTTTGTTATATGTAATATAACTATATATATATATACAGGGTCTACCAAAAGTGTGGAAACCCCTAAATATCTCGGAAAATATACGTTTTACAGAAAAGTGTTTCCAACAAAAGTTGTAGGGTTTAAGAAGATCTATATACTGATTCTATCAGTTTGACCTTGGATGGCGTCGTCAAGGTCAGGTCAAGGTCACATTGACTTTTTTAAATGACACCCCCTACATTTGATTGCATATTCTTATAGCTTAATTCAAGAGCTTTCCAAAACACTATAATAATGTTCATTTTTATTAAGTACTTTGCGAGTTATGAGGGTTGAAATAATTTCTTAATTTTACATAAACCATAAAATATCTAGTAAACCATTCATTTTTCGATTATCTTACCTTCATACTTTTATGTACAAAATAATGAAAGGAATCAATTGGTGTAAAGAAAACATACAGTTGTTTTTAAGAAAAAATATGGAATTGTTAATTGCAAATTACATATTTTTTCTTAGAAACAACTATGTGTTTTCTTTACACCAATTGATTCCTCTCATTAATTTGTACATAAAAGTATGAAGGTAAGATAATCGAAAAATGAATGGTTTACTAGATATTTTATGGTTTATGTAAAATTAAGAAATTATTTCAACCCTCATAACTCGCAAAGTACTTAATAAAAATGAACATTATTATAGTGTTTTGGAAAGCTCTTGAATTAAGCTATAAGAATATGCAATCAAATGTAGGGGGTGTCATTTAAAAAAGTCAATGTGACCTTGACCTGACCTTGACGACGCCATCCAAGGTCAAACTGATAGAATCAGTATATAGATCTTCTTAAACCCTACAACTTTTGTTGGAAACACTTTTCTGTAAAACGTATATTTTCCGAGATATTTCCACGAGGGGTTTCCACACTTTTGGTAGACCCTGTATATATATATATATATATATATATATATATATATATATATATATATATATATAATGTTATGCAATTTGATTAGATATTAAGAAATGGCAAGACTACACAGAACCAGGAGATGAACTAGATCCTGGGAGTCCTTTGCGACGTACCAGTCGTAATTTAGATGATGATACCACTGAGAGTTTACCTTTACCAGAGGGAGTACTTACAACCAATTTGGGCTTAGATGTTGTCGTGGTCATAACGAAAACCGATTATATGTCCACTCTAGAAAAAGAACAGGATTACAAGTGAGTATTACTTGAAGAATTCACTGCAAATTATTAGTATAAATTATATTAATCCTACATAATTTTTTTACTTCTATATAGAGATGAACACTTCGACTTTATGCAGCAATGGATCAGGCGATTTTGCTTGCAATATGGTGCGGGTCTCTTCTACACATCAGCGAAAGAGGACAAAAACTGTGATTTGCTTTATAAATATCTTACACATAGAATATATTCTTTACCGTTTAGAACACCGGCATTGGTTGTTGAAAAGGACGCAGTACTTATGTAAGCACATTCTTACATTTCCGAGACTTTCTTTTATACTTATGTATGTTAATAGACTAATAATTATTTGCAGTCCTGCTGGTTGGGATAACATGAAGAAAATTAGCATTCTACATGAAAATTTGCAATCTATGAAGGCGAACGATTACTATCGCGATGTTATTGCACAGCCAGCGATAAATCGGAAAGTATGTTATCATGTTGTTTCTTTAATATAATTCTTCTTGTTCTGATATGCAAATATAATCTTATATAATATTTAATTCAATGACATCATCGGTTTAGTGTGTTGCCAGAGAAATGGAGATTCATGCAGAGGAAGAGCAAGCTTTTCTCGCGCGACAGCAAGCTGCTCTATCCGGCTTGAAAGATCCCACTCGTTCTCCAACAACTCGGAATCAGGCAAGCCCTGGACCAATTATACAGGTTATACCATTTATAAATAGGGCATGCTCTTCATGTTGCGTGTCAAATCAAAGGTATCACAGTGTCGCTACTAATTTTCTCATTGCATTTATGAATCGTGCGAGTAATTCATTAATCTAATTTGTCACAACATTCATTACAAAATCATTGATTCTATAACTTGGTATATGTTTGTGCCAATTGTTTTGTTCATTATGCAATATAATTCATATAGTTGTTTTGCATATTCGTTTATCCATATAGACAATTCATTCAATGTTGAAAGCAGATGTATTTTTATCCTTCATGTATTATATGCCTCCTAGGAGATCCATATTGCTTAATATATCTAGTGAATTCGTTTAATGGAATGATAAAATTGCAATATATTAATATAGCGCCATCATAGCATATCAAATCAATTTTTTCATTTAACATAGTAATTTAATCCTTGCTGATACAGGATGTCGATAAGCCACATACAAGACCTCCCGACAATTAATTGTACAATGTGTTATTGTTTAATAATCCATGTAATTTCAATTTCAACTCGTGTGATTATTCCAGTTAACATTTGAAAGCATGTTCTAATCTATGTGGTATGATCTGTCGATTAAGGATATAATATGCTTCGAAAATGGACGAATATTAATATTTTTATGAATAGGTGGCGTCTCCGAACAAGAAGCTGGATCCCAAGGGTACCGGTGCGACGCCGTCCGGAGAAGGTGTCTTAGCTAATTTCTTCAATTCTCTTCTTTACAAGAAAACTGGAGTGCAGCCCGGTTCACCAGGAACGCCAGGCAACGTTGGAACGAGTCCCTTAAAACTTGGTATGTTATAATAAATTTCTTTCTGTATTAAAAATACTAAAAAGAATATTTCGTATCTTAGAGGCTACACCAGTGGACAAAGCGACAATGTGCAACGATGCAGCGGCGGAATTAGATCGTCTCACTCGGACGAAGAAAATTTCCCCACCCAATTTAAATTCGTCCTCTGAATGTTAAAGGTAACGCGCTTTTTCTTCGCGACCTATTATTGATGGAATAATCGATGCTTCGTGCTATCATTAGATAGAATTAAAACAAGAATTGAAAATTGGATTCTCTTTTATTTGTTACAATTGCGCACGTACTGTGTGATATGGAACACAATAAACGAGTATAATAATAAAAAAAAAAGATAGGTCGTGAAGAAATAAAATTTAACTCTAATCATTCTAATGGTAGTTTAACTCTGATAAAACCTCAAAGGAAATCTAAAAAAAAAGAGAGGAAAAAATAAAATACTATAATCTGTGTCACACAACTCTCTGTGACAATCTCGATTGTTGTGTTTGACTAAATATCAGACAGAGAACAACTAGCAAGTTATTAAATTAATGTAATTAAAATATTTAATATAATGATACTATCAAAATATAGGCTTTACGCACATACCCCAGCGCCTGGTCATAGTAAATTATTTAGCAATCGTCCTTCGTACATATACGTGAAAAGCGTGTTCGCTATATCCATATACGAATGCACATTTTTTTTGTCTCTTTGTAAGCGAATACTTTTATTACGTGTTTCGTACTGGATCATTTTCTTGCACGAGATAGTCTCCAGAATGACTCGCCACTGCATTCGGTCTAATTTTTGCGACATAAGTGCCGTTAGCGCTGCGAATGTGTTGTGCGAATGCGTGAGATAGTCTTTTATACGAATTGTTCATAAAATACGCGAGATCTTCTAAGAGAAGACGCAGTGCAGTCTTCATATTTAGGAATAGCTAATGGTACGCGACTGGAATGGATGTTCATATCGCGCGTGTAAATTCGATAATTTCTTTGTAGATTTTAAACTGTGTGAGTATCTTACTCAACTCACGCAACAAATGAACAGAAATCTGTACATTCAGTTATCAATATATATAAATGTGGCTATATGTATATGAAATTTAAATTCTCGAAGAAAATAAATAATTTTTCGTATATATATTGTCTCTTATACTCATTTCAGCTAGAGTGATCATTTATTATACAAGTCTAGTTACAAGTTCATTATGTGATATTTAATAAGGTATTTTATATAGCAAGTTTACAAAATTTCTTTATTTTGTAGGTGGGATACATTAAAGCGATTAATAATACGTATTACTATTTTATTCTATCGGACATATTTGCGATATAATTTAAATTGTCACATTTTTATTTATGGTATCGTATAATTCGCATTACGACGATGAATGTCGATATCTAAATAAAATTCAAGAAAGATAGCAGTAAAATATATAGAAATACTATCAACACAGGAATGATCTGCGAGTCCGAATAATTCTACTTTATATATATTATATATATTATATATATATATATATATATATATATATATATATATTTTATATATTTGATACATATAAGCAATTTTAAAGATTGAATTAATCACAAAATAATTGAACATAAATTTGAAATCAAATGGAATAAACTGTCCACTTTCATTATTCAAACTCGGAAGAGATGCATAAACAAAAACACTACTATTACATGAAATATATACAAGAAATACATAATTAAAATTGTCATAAAAGGGAAAATAGGATAGATAATCGCGCCTTTATAATGTATAATGACATAAATGCACATCGCTTCATAATTAATACATAATGATAATGTATAGTTGTGCAATAAAATATTATTCATTTCGCTAATGATGCACACTTTCAAGAGTCTAATAATGAGTTTATTTGGTTGTATATTAGTGCATACTAATGCTCTTAAAGGTTGTAGTATACAAATTTACACTAGCATAAATAACTGATATAAATAAAATAATTAATTCTCTGAGTTATTATTATCATTTGTATCAAATAATAATAATAATTTATTGTTCAATAATTTATTGTTATTAATAAAGTTAAAGTTATTAATAATAGTTAATTATTTTATTATTTCAATTATACTATTGTAAATTCATATGTACGACACTCTTTAATATGCATTAGTGTGCACTAGTGCATCCAACTGAATTCGCTATAAAAACTAATATTTTTGGCAGACCTTTAATAAAGTTTGATCTATAAATTCACATAACATATATATATATATATATATATATATATATATATATATATATATTATAAAGTTAATATAAAAGAGATTTATGCCGTAAATGTAATTAATATAAATTTTATATCGCTTAATTCTATATCATTTAACATAATTATTACTTAAAAAAATAATTTAAAATAATAAATTTTTAAATTAAAAAATATAATTAAAAAGAAGCTTTTTGTATCATCCTATCTACATCAATCAATGTATTGAATCAAAAACATTTTTTTACCGATTTATGTAATATATAGATAACATATCACATATCAGGAAATTGTAATATTTTTTAATAAACGCTTTTAATTATAATCCTCATACGATTTATATCAAAAGATAAAATAATTCACAAATATGATATTTTTTATTTATTAATTTTAACAATTTCTACATGGGAATTATTCTCAAGATGGATATAAAGACATATTAATCCTATATTAATAATAAATATTCGGAAGAACTCTCTTATGTCTACTGGATTTTTTTTGCAATTTTTATTTATGCAGAAAAACAATGCTAATAAATGATAAATAAAAAGCTCTGTATAAAACATATTGGAAATATGTTACATTCATGTATTAATAACTATACGGCTACATATATGAAACACAACTTTAACAGCGTAATATATCATTTATCATGCAACAAGTTTTTCTTTTTACTAGGAATATGAATATTAAATAATATAATAAGTGTGCGTACACTATATGTACGAGCTCGTTTATCAATATCGGATTATATTTTATTTATGAATTATTGCTCGAAGATCATAATTCCAGCATATATATTGTTTTTCAGTTTTATGCAACTGAATCATGTCTTTTCAAAACAATATATCGTTCTATCAATTCAACCTGACATATCTTGTTTAATAATCTTGTTAAAAATAAACGTCAGAAGAAACTAGACAGTTTTTTCTCTCGCGAAATGTTGCAGATAATCGTAAATTATATAATTCGTCTATTGAATTGTGATAGCCCCAGGAAAATTCCAGTGCGCAATGCGATCGGTGACAGTCTTTTTATTTTTAGTAGAGCAGAATGCGCTTGTCAACCGCCTTGCGACATATTGGACACTCCGACATACGATCGCCGCACATTTGGCAGGTGCCATGTCCGCACAGGAAGATCATGTTTTTTAGACGATCCAAGCAAACTGGACACATAGTCTGCAACAATAAAACAAGCGGACTCTCGCGACTTATCGTCTCTGATATTTCCATCTAAATTCTACTTCTAATATGAACAAATTATTTTATGATTCAAGCTCTATGCTCCTTTCTAATACAAATTTCCAAGATTCTTTTAATTAGAATTATTTTAGAATCGATTTTTTCTTAACGAAAATAAAATTTTATATCTCTATTTTATTATATTTTTGTAATGTTAAATATCTTTTTTTAATTTTTTATTATAGTCCATTTGAATGAAAGATAAATCTTTTTAGTTAATCTAATATTGTAGCATTTTCTGTAATTGGCAAAATATAAATTAAACAGAATGATAGATTGAAATTATTGTGCGACAAAAAAGCTTGGAATTTTCGAGAAAACATATATTCCGGTTTTTCGAGAACGAATGATAATTGTACAGAGCACAGTTCCGACTTCTTCCTTCGGCACAAACGAAATTATTCGTTTCATTAAAGCGGCGCATAACGAAGCGAGACGCAGAGGGGACACGTACCTGCTCCTTGATGTCCTGCAATTGCTGCTGTAGTTTTTGTATGTCGCTGTGGGAAGTATCTCGGCTGCCGTTGTTCATTAGGAGAGCTTCCCCAGCCACGGTGTTGTTCGAGGGCGTCGGCTCCTCCTCGGGATCTGCCTTGACTTCAGATATCGTTCCTTCGTAATGTAACAATTAATTTTTTTAAAACAAATTTGCAAAAGTTACACGCTGCTCTTATTCATTACAATTCATATTTTTATTCGCGATGTATAATATTTAATGTTATTATATCAAATGTTATTATATAAAATTAAAAAGAGCAAATTAACAAATAATTAATTATGTATGTGACATAGATGTCGAGCAATTTGCATTATAAAATGTTGACAACAGAAAAATATAAGAGAAAAATAATATATGTATTAGATATATATGTCTATCTCAACTATAAAACTAAAAGATCATTTTGATTATTATATTTTAAAAGTGAGATCTTTAATCTTTCTAATTCATTCTCGGATCTATATGAGCTAGATAGATAAATCGAGGTGAGCTATCTAATCGCTACTACGTTCTACATATGGGAACAGTTTGATATATTCAGTGCGATTAGATAGGTCGAGGCGAGATATCAAGCGCGCTCTATGCAAAGTGGACGTTATACCTGAGGCGTTGCAGCCCTTTACGTAAGTGACATCACCTCCACCACCGCAGCAAACCGAGAGTGGTACCATGTGCTGTATCTGGGCCCGGCATTGCACGCACTTCTTCATCAGGGCCGCGCAGCCTTCGCAGGCGCACATGTGTCCGCACGGATGGAACAGCATGCCCGCCTTGCGATCCGAGCACACCACGCATTCTTCGATCTGGAAACAAATGTTCATTATTACGCGAGGGCGTGAATGGAACTCGCCTAGAATTGCGAGATCTATTTCAGAATAGAATCGAACTATCCGGTCAACTATTATTATTATCTATCCAAAGAGAAATTAACACGGCGTGTTAAATTACATCGATGTAAAGAGCGTAATTTATGATACGATTAAAATATTGATTGGCGCTATAGAAGATTTTGATTTAAATTATTAGAAAAAGGTGTGTCTTCGCGTAAAACATGTAAGACTGGCGTATAAAAATGAAATCGATTTTTCCCACAAATCCTCGAAAATAAAGAAACTTGGAATTATAATATATTATTGGCAATATTATTATTGAGATAAAATTTAAAATAAATAATAAAAATAATAAAATTTAAAAATCGAATACTAATTTAAAATGTTGATTATTGTTAAGAATAAGATGTCAACGGTATAAGTTACGGATAATAATGTGTAACAATATTAGTAATATTTTACCTTTACTCGGGAAAGAACATTTTCACGGCAAATAAGACATTTTTTCACTCTCGGTGCACAAGCATTGCAGCAAGCCACGTGTCCACATGGAGTGAATAACATTTCCCGTTTGCCATCAGAACATACTAAACATTCGTCGATTGCTGCCGATGGAGTAACAATCTCGATGTCATGTCTGAAAAAGAGAAAAGTCGCATTCTAATGAATATTATATTTAGAAATACAAAGAGAT